TTTTTTTTTGTGATCATCCAAAATGTCTCTTATAAATAGGGTATATAATTATGTGCTTTTATAACTCTTATTTCTCCTTTTCTTGTTCTAATAATGTGAGATTTTTTTTGTATCTCAACAAATGAGAAAAAAGAATGAAATTGAAAGGCATAAAAATTTGTTTTGATGATAAATAAATATGCTTAATGAATTAATACAAGTAGTAGGTCAATAGGGATCACAATGTAAACTCGGCAGTTCATATCACCAACTCACCTAATTTTAGTGGCTTGGGTTGGAAAAATAAATCGACTAACTCACCTAACTTACCCTAGCTAACTCTCCAATCGGACAGATTCAACTTGCTAATTAACTCACTGCCTCAATTCGTCGACCCACTTTTTTTAATTTGTTTTAAATTATATATTTGTAGTGAATTTATGTTAGATCAATATTTTTATTTTATAGTTTAACTTTTTTCTAAGTAATTATTCTTATTTTATATAAATAAAAATATAATATTTTAATCACATTTTTTAACTAGTATATTTTTATGTATAATATCTTTTTTAACACACACACACACACATATATATATATATATATATATATATATATATATTACTTTGTCCATTTTCATAAAAAAAAATATAACGTCTCTAATCTTGAAGTAATAATGTATATTGAAATATTTCAATTGAGATTTTAAAAGAAAAATTGGATAAGTTGAAGGTGGATCAACTTGTCAACCTACCATTTTTAATCCACCAATTTATTAAAGTAGACTAACTTGTCAACTCACCAATTCACCGTTACGTAAAATTACATTTTTCAACACATTTTTTTGTGGGTTAACTATTCTTCCTTCCGTTTCTTTGGTGAGTTAACATGTCTTACTTTAAATGAGTTGACTCACTTTGTTATTCTTATATTAAATTTACCTGTCGTATTTATTAGATATTGCAACATATAATCTAAATAGTGCCTATACAGTGAAATTTACTTATAAAATTATTTTTAGTTATGATGGTTTGATAGAGATAGTATGTTGGGAAAAAAATGTGAACTAATCTTTTTTGTACGCTAAAAAATGTGAACAAGTTAATTCCTCTTAAAGTGGTAATATTTTTGTGCAAATTACAACAAAATAGAATACCACCAAAATAGAATTTATCTTATATATTTTCGAATCATATTTTTATTTGAAGGATTGTTGTTAGTAATCATGAAATTCATGTGAGGAGAAAACTGATAAAGGGACCTAATATAAAACACATGGTTGGTTTGTTAGGTATAATGTGTAAAGTATATTGAAGACTATGAGTTTGACATAATATTAACAGGTAAGAATAATAGGGTGCTGCAATGACACATGGAGCATATCAAAACATACATTTTTTTTCATTTTTGAAACATCCCTAATTAATGCATGAAATTTACATTGATTTAGCGGGTGCATTAATATTTAACAAATATTCGATGTTTTCAAGTGCCAAGTCATTTTTTTTTCAATGATTTGAAGGGTTGAATTGCTGTCAATAGGTGGGTATACGGACCGGTCTGGCTTGTTTAAGGCTCGGTCCGTAAAACCTGTGTTTTATACGGACCGGATATGTCCGGCCTGTAAAATAAACGGACTTAAGTCCGTATCCGACTCGCTAAAATCCGCGGATAACGAACCGGTCTGTGGGTCTAAATAATGGTTCAAAAAAAATAAATTTTTAAAAAATAAAAATACATAAAATTAGAAAAAAAAATATTTTTTTATAAGCTAAATTTTATCATACTAAAATTTATTAATAGTTAAAATAGGTTAAAATACTAAATATTAAAATAAAAATAATTACAAATATTTAAATAATAGTACCAAATTTTCAATAATAAAAGCATCAAAATGTCATAAAAATAATTTAAATGACAAATACATACCAACTAAACATAATTTTAATGTCATAATAATTTAAAAAATTAAATACACAACTTAATATTAAAATTATAATATTTAAAAATATTAATTAGTGAAGTCTGCGGACTAGCCCGTGAATCTGCGGATTAAATCCACCAAGTCGGCAGACTTCACAGGCCGAACTCAAAAGTTAAACATAATCATACGGATTTGAAAAAAACGGATCCGTTATCCGCGAAATCCGCAGGCTTACGGACCGGTCCGCGGATCCGGGTCCATTTACCCACCCCAAGATATCATTTATAGTGAACGTTTGAATTTATCTTATATTTTAGTAAGGTGCCAAAGTTAAGACTCTTTGCCGTCACTTTGGGAGTTCAAGGCATTTCTTATTCTTTGACCTTTAAAAAAAAAATTCACAGTTAAAAAAAAAACCTAAACAAGATGCTATGATGTAATTTTGCAAAATTATAATATAGAAATTGAACAAAATAATAAAAATAAAAACCAGTGGATGCTGATTATACATAATAACTCTTATTTCGCGCTCACAATTGAGAGACTTTTGTAGCATATACTTATGCATTATAATTTTTCTCAACATATATAAAAGCACATGACAAGCAAAGAGAGATGCCAGCTGCGTTATTATTATACACTTGAAATTTTAGTTGGTGGACATTTTTACCTCTTATACATTGATCACTAGGAATAAGCTAACTGACTAAAATTGATTGGACTCACAAACTCAATGCCTCCTCCAAACAGAGTCTTAGCAGCCAATTCCGAAGCTATCTCAGTAGGATGAAACCAATCCCAAAACAAAAACTCCTTGCGTTTTGCGCACAGACTAGCGTTTTGGGCTTTTATGCATCCAACTTGCCCATTCAGATATCCACTCCCGCAACATGCTGACCTCGTTTCTTTAAATCCTACATGTTTGCCAAGATTCAAATTCAAATCATGTATATGACATCACTAAATACGTGGCTTTTATTTTCCATTAGATAATATCACTAGATTGAAGTTGAATATTAATTCTTACCGAAGGACGAAGGGCTCTTTAAAATGGTGGTGGTCATTACGAAAGAGTTGCCAAGTGAGAACTGGAACCCTTCCAATTCATAACTCAACCTTTGCAGAAGATCTCGAGTTGTTGAATGGAATGCAACTGCAAAATCATTAAGGGCTTTCACACATTTCCCTCCATTCAAAGAGCTTACAGCGGGACAGCACCCTATGGGTGCAATGCTTACGATGCCAAATTTACGAGCCCCCAACTCATACAGTTTCTGAAATAATTTTTCTCCAAAATTAATCAACAATGTAGTTCATATATAGGATAGATATTAAAAAAGTGGATAAAAAATCTAGCTTAATTTTATAAAATTGGTTTATAAAGTGATAGTTGTCTCTCCTTATATATACACATATAATTATATTTTTAGTTAATAAAAGATCTTCAACACACTTCTCACAATAAGGATTAAACCTTAAATAAGGATTAAACATCTCAAATGTAAAATTTATAAAATAATGTATATATAGATGGTTTGATAACAACTAAATAGTGACTGGTTAGATAAGACTAACATTAAAATATACTTTAATACTATTTTAAAAAAATTAATTGTAGTCATATTCAATCCTATAATATAAAGATTTGTCTTTTACTTATATTTATTAGTTTCATGGTATGTCTAGCTTACATCAAGTCCCCAATAATAGATTGGTTCTAAGACCGTGTTATTTTTATGTGTCTTTTATGTTGAAGTAAATAGTAACTTCGGTTTAAATTTAATACTACAATTGCATAATGCTAAAGTACCTTTATATGAGAGAAATATGTGAGTTGTACAACAGCTAAATATTCTTCTGCCCCCAAATGAATGGAGCCACTCTCGTTACGGGCAAAATCGAAGAAGTCGTTGCTTCCAACGCTGATGAGAAACAAAGCCTTAGAAACGAATGTAGCAGCTTTTACTGGTCCCAATATCTCAGTAAGATTGTCACGGACTGACGAAAATTGTTCCACTTGATTTCCAAGGAAAATCACTTCACCCTAAAAAGACAATTCATTCCCAATTTAGTTTTTTATTAAATAATTAACCATACATAAATTTTACTAGTAATTATATTATCAAAAAATTATAATTAATAGTAAATGTATCGATCTTTATATATTAATTATGAATCTTTATTTTATTCGAAAGTATTTTTTAGAAATTTTTCTTCAATAAAAATATTTTAAAAACCTTTTAATTTCTTATCTAATTTTATTTTTATTTATGATAATTATTTATAAATTAAATTTTAATATTTTAAATTAAATTATCAATAAATAAAAGTAATATTGTACTATAATATAAATTATTTTTCAAAAATTTAAAATATAATTTATATATTTAAAAATATCTATTTAAAAATATAATTTTTGCATTTAAACATAATATCTATTTGTATATATAATTTATTATAAATTTTAGTTATATATAATAAATATTTTATCAATATATTATGTATACTAAAATACTAGTAAATATATAACTGCAAATGTCAAAATTCAAAATACACATAATAATAATGCCATTGTCACAATTTGTTACATTTCTCTATATAGTGAAACATATATTTTATGAGATCAATTAATTAATAACGAATGATTCAAATATTGTGTGTGGGATTATAGATTTAAACGTGCAACATTTATTCACATTCAGCATGTAATCAGTATTTTTTTACAGTAGAATCTAACTAGTTAAATTAATATTAGGTCAGATGAAAGAATAAAACAATTACTTATTGCGTAGAGAAATTTGTAATGATGTTATATGTCATGCATGTTTATTTTTAATAATATGCTTAGATTCAAATCTGTCTTCACATGTGCACATTTCCTAATTCTCTATTAACTTATTATATTAAGTAAAAATCTTTTCTTTTCTACCCTTCATTTTTCACGTTTTCAAATCCTCATTTATTTTTAAACAGTTTTTTCTCCCTTTATTAAGCCTATTTTTTTTGTTTTAGATTAATCACTAAAATATTATATTTCTAACAACTGCTCAAAATTTTCACCGTTGAGCAGACCTTATTGAGTTTATGTTATACTTAATATCTAATGATTTAATTTTTTATTAATAAAATTATATTATCGAATATTATCTCAACACTTCATACGAGTCACATTCTAGTAGTAAAAAAATTAGAATAATATATATAAGATTTTAGGTTTAAACTTTATTGTCATTGTAGAAAAAAACAAAAGAAGAAAATCTTAACACTTAATACTTTATGTTTGTTAGTAAGACATGTTAATAGTGATTATAATTACCCATTCTAAAGACCCCGTGTCTCTAAGAATTCCAGATCCCCCTGACGCAAAATTTACACCCTGCAAAATACTCTTCTGGAAAATGTACCTATTTCTCTCCAAAGTCAAAAATGGTGGTGGACTCTGCTGATAACCGAATTGCCTCGCTAGTTTCCAAACAACAAAACAATGCAACCAAATACTCAATAAAAATGTACTATAAACAACGTACAATTCCATAAAATTAATAATTAAGTGAAAATTTAATTCTTCAAATTAATATATTTTTACCAATTTGGTCAGCAGTGTTGAAGCCATTACTAAACCTTCCTGTGGGAAACGAATGGTAAAAGTCAATGCCATTGTAGGGGAAGTTGGCTTTTGATTTAGACATAAGAAAATTGTTGGTTCCAACATCAAAAGTGGAGTCTCCAAATATGAATAATGTTGGCGCATCCTTAGTCCCATTAGCTACTTGCATGCCAAGCATGGCCAGAGAATAGAGAACAAACAAAAGCACCAAACCATAATTATTGCTGGCAAATGATGCCATTTTACACCCTTGTGAGAGAATATCACACAAGAGTAAGTAGTTTCTAATCTCTGCTGGTACCAAATGCAAATTAAAAGATCGTTGCGGTTATATATAAGTGGTGTACACGTAAAAAATAACACAATGCAAAGTTAAATTATTGGTCTTAATTTGTCTCAAACAAAATATTATAGGAATATTATGTATAGAAACAATGGCATCGACATGGCCGACCATTGTCGCCCTTGTTATTATAATCAGCAACAACCGTACAAAGCATAATTATTAGTATATGCTAATGCGATTTTCGAACTGCTATATGTACCTATTTGTTTGTTTTATTAATGTTACGAATATTTAAATAGAAAAAAGTGTAGTAAAAATAATTTATTTGGTGCAGATAACTGTTTAAAAGTATAAGTTAATGACGTACCTCACTACACTGCCTGAGTTTGATTGGCGTATATAAATTGCTTTTTATTATGATGGAGAATATGATGGCGTATATAAATTGCTTTTTATTATGAAGCATGGTTGTTTTCTTGCCAATGCTTTGTTTTGCTTTCACAGCATCGGTATCATCGATCGAGTCTAATTTCCAATGGCCCTATTTAATTTAAATTGACCTACTGCCGCACCCCCCCCCCCCCCCCCCCCCCCCCCCACACACACACTTTCAAATAACCTTTTGACTCTTTAAGCTTATAATAGAATCAACTTTTCTTTAGTGTCGGATTTAAAAATGAATATTCATTACTTACTCATTCAAAGATTTTAAAATAAATACATTATAATGAATGAATATTAAGGTACTCATCAAGAGTTAGTTACTATACTCAGTAATTTACCGTATAGAATTAATTTTAATGGTTCAATTGTGAAATTAAAAATTTTATTAAATAATTAAGTTTACAAATTTTTGTAAATTAGTTTAAAAGTTATGTGATTTTTTGTTGCATAAAAATAAATTAATTTAGATTTATGTAACAAAATATTAAATAATTTTAAACTTAAAAAAATAGTAAACTTAATCTAATTATTTATTTGTAATTTTTAATTTAAAAGTTAGATAATTAAAATTCAACAAATAACATGATTTATTGAGTCTAATTACCCAATAAATTACCCCTTTTGGAAAGCTAGAATGAAAATCTTTATGGAATCTATTCGTAGAAGCATATGGCAAACTGTGATTACTGAATACAAAATTCCTACTAAAATTGAAAACAAAAAAGATATAGAGAAACCTTTTAATAGTTGGGATTAAAATGAGATTAAAAGAGTTGAGAATGATGCAAAGACATTAAATATAATATATTATGCATTAAATTCTAATGAATTTTTTTAGAATTTTAGCTTGTATAATAGCTAAAGAAGCATGGGACTTGATTCAAGTGACACATGAAGGAACTCCTGAAGTTAGTCATGCTAGAAATAATACTCTCATCTAAGAATATGAGACATTCAAAATGACACAAGGAGAAACCATCAAGGAAATGCAAAAAAGGTTTACACACATTATCAACCACTTAAAAGGCTTAGGAAATATCTTTGATGAAGAAGAAGTAAATGTCAAGGTCCTAATTAAGTCACTAGATAGAAGATGGCAACTTACGGTGACTACAATCACCAGAATCTAAGAACCTAGCTCAAATGACCTAACCAAAGTGTACTATCCGTACCGCAATACTGAGCTCTAGCTCGGCATCACAACGCAAGTCAACCTCGAACACGCGCTAGGCGACGTCGGTCAAGACAAGGACCGACGTCCAAATAGGTCATAAATTGATCTCAGGCCCAAGGCCCTAATTCACACAAAGGTACGTGCATTACTTATATGTTCTTACCGGAATTTGTCGTAGGGACGATCTTCTAAG